GCCGTCGATCTCTCCGGAGATTTACGCCGTGATGGCGACCTGCGCCTATCGCTAGATGGAGAGTCTAGTTTATCCAGCAAGCGATCAAATTTCAACGTTAGAGAAGTCATTTTCTCCTGAAGCTCAGTTATTTGAGCATCAGTTGATATACGCGCTTCCCTTTCGGTGGAGTTGTCGCGAAATCCCTTACGGCGCGTGGCCGCAGGTGAATTCCGGCGATCAAACCTCACCTTACGCTGGGGACGATCTTCCCTCACCTCATTCGCTCTTCCCCTGTCCCCGGTGGCAGACAAAGCCGTATCCGAACTATAAGTTTCGGGGTAGACCTGGCATACCACAGGAGGACGTGGGAGAGGTTCAGGGGTGGGGGTAGAAGAATGAGTTGGTGGCGCTTCATCGTCAATGCTCTGATGCCATTCTAATATTCGGATAGCATTCGAGATGGTTTTGGGCTGCTGTAGGCAGGCGTACTTGCCGCCTGGCCTATCAACGCACCCTTTGCAGAATCGAAAGGCCGCAACCTCTTCGATCCAGGCATTGGTAGCGCCCCCATTAGCAGCTGATTTATAGGCCTTAGCAGCAGCCTGGAGCACCCGGGATCCCCACTCCCGAAGTGTCTCAGACTCTTTTTGCTTTAAACGTTCAAATTTAGCGGCAAGAAGTGATTGGTCCCCCGCCAAACCGAAATACTCCTCAAAAGCGGCAACCATATCGTCATAAGAGATGGCGCCCCCATTGAGCGTATAAAGAACCTGTAAATGTGCTAGGGCCTCGCCCCGCAAGCTTACTTGAAACGCCTCGCGTTTTTCTAGTAGAGACCAGCCACTAATCTCCGCAAAACTCTCAAACCTGTCTCTAAAAACCTTCCAGTCCTCGGCACCCGAAAATTCGAGGTGCTTTTGTGGACGGAAAGATCGGAATTCCCGACGGTCCCCCCGTCCAGTATCATCACCCCGGGGGGCAAGGCGTTCAAGCCTATCCCCTCCGCGAGGAGCCTGGCGTTGGCAGCGCCGGGAATCATCCCAAACCTGGCCGTTATTACGTGCGTATCCAGAGTCCCCATCCCAAGGGTTTCGTCTATCATGGCTAAAGTCCATCCCCTGGTCGGCAGCACAGTACCCACGGCCATCCCCCTGGGGCCCAAGGGAAGGAACAGACCGACCCATGGGTCGCTGATCTCCCACTTCAGGTAGCCTACTAGGCAGGGACCCCGGACCATGAGGTTGGTATCGGCCATCCTCGACACACCCACGACTAAATTCTCTCTGTCCCGGAATTTCCCCCCCATCTCGACCAGAAATCCCCCGCCTATCCCAAGAGGGTTCGCGATCCTGCATGGGATAGCGGCGCTGGCCCGTGCGTGAGAGAGTGCGTCCGCGTTCCATGGTTGAAGAACCCTGGAATACGTCGTCCCCTCTGACGTCACGGCTATTTGGTACACCCCACGATGACTCGGCCCGCGCAAGGCGAACCGGGGTCACCGAAGGGTAGGACGGAAAATTCCCAGGAACTGGTGTAAAGGGTTGGGTGCCCGAAGAATTGTCTCGACCAGAATCAAAATATGGTGGAGGAAAGGGGTTGGTACTGGGATAGCCATAACCCCCTTCCCCTGGAGATGGGTAGGTAGCTGGTCCGGCAGACGGCGGGCAACGGGCAGGGGAAGGGTCATTAAGAACTGAACCCCCACTGACCTCTGCTCCCCCCTGCCGGATACAGGGACCTCCCAAGGCAATGTCCATAACACGGACAGTTGACAGTGAGGGCGCACCTTCGTGGATGCCTGGGCCCGCAGAGGATTGATAATCGGCCGGGGAGGGGGCAGCCGCAGCTGGGCCCTCACCAACCGTTACCCCATCCCGCTGAGCACAGGAATCCCCCAAAGGAACCCCCTCCGCATGACTAAACAGGGGATTGGGTGCAAAATCTACATCCAGGCAGAAACAGTCCAGGGGGTCCTGTACCGCCTGCTGCAGTTCGCGTAAAGTCCCAATATTCCCTGCAGTTTTCCTAAATTGGATAAGGCGCGAGATCATTTCTGGGGTAAATTCCTCCGGAAAATGACTACGCTGATAAGCATAATTTACCGTAAAGGTAAAAGCTAAAGTGTCATCGACGACTGGAGCCATTGAGTTCATCTGAAAGAAATAGAAGGACGCCATTCATTAGGAACG